TTTTTTTGAGACAGGTTCTCACTCTGTCTCCCAGTCTGGAGTGCAGTGACATGAACACAACTTACTACAGCCTCAACCTCACAGACTCAAGCAATCCTCCCACATTACCCTTCCTGGTAGCTGGGACCACAGGTGCCCATCACCATGCCGAGCTAATTTTTTAAAATTTTTTTTGTAGAGACAGGGTCTTGCCATGTTGCCCAAGCTGGTTTTAAACTCCTGTGCTCAAGCAGTCTTCCCACCTCAGCCTCTGAAAGTGCTAGGATTACAGGGATAAGCCACCATGCCCAGCCAGAAATTTATATTTAAACTGGTTTAAATAATAAAGGGACTTTATTGTTCCATGTAAATGAGAAAACAGGGAAGGCCTCAGAGATGATATGATAAGGACTCTGATTTAGTATCTCTGCTATTCTATTAGATCAGCCTTTTCTGTGGCAGTTCATTCGAACTAGTATTTCTAACTAAATTTTTTTTTTTTTTTTAAAGACGGGGTTTCACCATGTTGGTCAGGCTGGTCTTGAACTCCCTACCTCAGGTGATCCACCCGCCTTGGTCTCCAAAGTGCTAGGATTACAGGCGTGAGCAACCGCGCCCGGCCTCTAAATTTTCGAAAGAAGAATATATATTTTTCCAAAGTACGGGCTTTTGGCTAAAAAGCGTAAGGCGTATTTTATATACGTGTATTTTACAAGCCTAGCATATTTGGAATATAGTAATTGTTAAATAAGACAGTTTTGGCTTAGATAACTGTATCTGATATTAGTATGTGTAAATATACAGTTATGCATTGCTTAACAACTAGAATATGTTCTGAGAAATTCATCCTTAGGCAGTTTCATCATTGTGTGAACATCATAGAGTGTACTTACACAAACCCAGATGGTATAGCCCTCTACACACCTAGACTATATGGTGTAGCCCCTTGCTCCTAGGCTACAAACCTATATAACATGTTACTCTACTGAATGCTGTAGGCAGTTGTAACACAGTGGTCAGAATTTGTGTATCTAAACATAGAAGAGGTACAATAAAAATATAAAAGATTTAAAATGGTACACTTGTGTGGAGCATGGTATGGTGAATGGAGCTTGAAGGACTGAAAGTTGCTTTGGGTGAGTCAGTGAGTGAATATGAAGACCTAGGACGTTACTGCACACTGCTGTAGACTTCATAAACACAGTACAGTTAATTTATACTATAAATTTATTTTCTTAATTTTTACTTCTTCAATAATGAATTAACCTTAGCTTACTGTAACTTTTTTACTTTATAAACTTAATTTTTTAACTTTTTGACTCTTTTGTAATAACACTTAGTTTAAAATACAAATATATTGTACAGCTGTACAAAAATATCTTCTTTATATCTTTATAAGCTATTTTTTAACTCTTTAAACTGTTTTATTAAAAGCTTAGGCATATGGCCAGGCACAGTGGCTCACGCCTATAATCCCAGCACTTTGAGAGGCCAAGGCAGGCAAATTACTTGAGGCCAGGAGTTCAAGATGACCAGCCTGGCCAATGTGTTGAAACCCCATCTCTACTAAAAATACAAAAATTAGCCAGGCATGTTAGCATGCACCTGTAGTCTTAGGTACTTAGGAGGCTGCTTGAACTTGGGAAGTAGAGGTTGCAGTCAGCCAAAATTGTGCCACTGCACTCCAGCCTGGTGACAGAGCAAGACTCTGTCTCAAAAAAAAAAAAACACGAAGGCACACACACACACACATTATCCTAGACTTATATAGGGTCAGGATCATCAATATCATTGTCTTCTACCTCTACATCTTGTCCCACTGGAAGGTCTTCAAGGGCAGTAACACACATTTGGCTGTCATCTCCTATGAGAACAGTGCTTTCTTCTGGAATATCTCTTGGAGGCCCTGCCTAATTGTCTGAGGCTTACAGTTAATTTTTATTATATAAGTAAAAAGAGTATACTAAAATAATAAAAAGTATAGTATATTAAAAAACATAAATCTGTAACATATTATTATCAAGTATTATGTACTGTGCAAAATTGTATATGCTGTACTTTTATACAACTGGCAGCACAGTAGATTTCTCCACTCCAGCACCACCACAAACACATGAATAATATGTTTTACCATGACATTGTACAACTACAGTGTCACCAGGCATTAGGGATTTTTTTATTATACTCTTATGGGACTGACTTCATGTATTCATTCTGTCATTTACCAAAACATCATGTGAAACATGACTACATGACAAAATAATTTTAAGCCTATAGAAGCTGTAGTTGGCCGGGCGCAGTGGCTCACGCTTGTAATCCCAGCACTTTGGGAGGCCGAGGCGGGTGGATCACAAGGTCAAGAGATCGAGACCATCCTGGTCAACATGGTGAAACCCCGTCTCTACTAAAACTACAAAAAATTAGCTA